AGTAGTAGTAGTAGTAGTAGTAGTAGTAGTAGTAGTAGTAGTAGTAGTAGTAGTAGTAGTAGTAGTAGTAGTATGGTACTAGCAGCAGGAGTAGTAGAAGTAGTTGTTGTAGTAGTAGTCGTCGTAGTAGTAGTAGCAGTAGTAGTAGCAGTAGTAATAGTAGCAGCAGCAGTAGTAGTAGTAGGAGGAGTAGTAGTAGCAGCAGCAGTAGTAGTGGCAGAAAAGGCAGTCTCATGCAAATTGAAACTCTTCCAGTCTAGATGTAAAACTTTAAAGGCTCTCCAAACAACCTTGTCCATCCGAATCCGCAGCTCTCGAATACCCATCGAGTTGTTTGCACACTACAGGTTCGGAATCCTCAGGTTGATTGGGAAGCCGATGCCGCCTCACGAGCTTTCTTCCCAGCCTTGGTCAAGCCCCCCCCCCAGAAGAAATTGTTTCATAAAATTAAGACCTGGCACACCAAACTTCTTAGCCTTACCATGCCATATCTGGCCAGGGTGCTAGAAATGGAAAGGTTGGTTTCCTGGCAGACTCAAAGCGGGACGATATGAGGACTGTATCCCTTTGCCAACAGATTCAAACCATTTTTCAAAACCCGGCCATGGAGGTTCTTGAGGGGGTGCTGTTTGGGTGGTCACTGTAATCCAAGTTTTTCCGGACAGTGAAACGTTCTCAGTGACTTTTCATCCATTCAAACTGAATGAGTGCCCTGAGCCCCGCGCTTTGAGTTGCCCTCCCAAAGGATCTGCAACGGCCTAGCCGGGGGTTCTGAAGAACAATTTATTGGTTGATACTGGTTCTTTGGATCCTTAGTCAGGTTCGGATCGTGAATTGACGTCCACCAACAGACCGATCATCTGCAAATACTTGGGTTATGGGACGGCATGGCATATTTTATTTAATTATATAAGAGGTGCCAAGTTTGGGGCTGCATATTGCTCGCTCTCAGATCTCATTGCTCGTGAAATAGACGACGAAACTGGCCGTTTGATGGGTGTCATCAAAAGATGGAGAATTGGGATCGGCCAATCCGAATCTAGCATCGTCCACTCATTGATTCAACGTTAAATAGCCAGCATGTAATGACCCAGACAATAATAGGTCCTCAAGGTAGTTTTAGTTGTCTTTTTGTTTTTTTTTTGTGCTCTGATGTTGATTCCTCAGGCTCTGAACGGGCCGCTTGGTGATAGATCTGGGACGGGTGGTGCAAAGCGCAGAGCACCCAGACATGGGCACCTGCCAGCGGGTTTGATGCAGCTACTTTTGAGGTCCATTTTTGCTGCTAGTCCCCGGTGTCGGAGCAAAGGGGTGCTTTGCGGACCCGCTCTCATGGAAATACCAATCTTTTGTAATTAGTGTACAGTGTACCTCAAAGTACAGCAGCACGCAGCTTTTTGATGCTCTTTGGCTGTGTTCTGAGTCCATCCACCTGCAGTGGTGAGATTGATTGGAGAGGCTTCATGTGGTCTATGTTCCTGTTCGGTTGCCTGGAGTAGATGTGGTGAGGCTGTGAACCAGTGACAGTCCCAAGAAGGATTTTATCTTTGGGTTTCTCCAAAGATCGGTATCCTCCAGTCCCAGAGCTTCACCAAGTGCTTTGCAAACCAGGCACTGTCAACCAGAATGTTGGTGTCTATCTATCAGTTGCAGCAACGTCAGTTAAGCATACTACGAGAATTATGCGTCCTACGACCTTCCTGATCCCTTGCTACTCGACACACAAACCGTCTTCTCGAAGGAGGTGAGGAAGTCAAAAAGAGAAAATGCGCCGGTTGCCAGACACATTTCCTCATGGTCAGACTGATGTTCATTCCGTTTCTTTAAGGCACCAGTTCTCCTCGATTTTTCGGATGGCCGACAGTCACTTAGTCGCTCGTGCTGGCGCGAGTTTGCCGTCGGCCCGTCGCACGGTCTATGACCTGGTGTCCCTGAAAGACATGAAAAAACAGGCAAGGCCGGCCGGCCTCTTTTGCAGGATGTCGTGCTCTTTAAAGAAGAGCATACGGAGCAAAGAATAGATTTGATATCTTGGTGGCCATTGAGGAAACAGAGTGAAAAAGAGCGTTCAAAGAATGCGGCAGGAAGCCAGATGGTTTGTCATTGTGTGCTACCGTATATGTTTTCGCGCGCACTGTGGCTGTTCAAGCGTTTTCAAGGCTGTCTTGGCGCCAGCAACAACATAACAAGCGCATCGCACAGAGATTCGGCCCATATTGTTTTCACCGGCCAGGCACAGCCTTGGATTGACCCCACTGATCCTTTATCACTTTGACTGGTACAAAACGAGTTCTGCTGAGAAGTCCATCCCGGGTGTAACCCAATATGTAGAATCTCTACGATTTCATGATTGGTGGTTTGGATGGTGATAAACGCATACAATCAGAGCTTTGGGCAACCTTGGTGCACCACAGATGTGTATATGTTCCCTTTTGGGAACCATGTCTCTCATGGCCAGTTGCGATGGCCAGCTTTGGAGCAAAGCCTTGCAGGGTTACGGCTCGGCCTTACGTCAGCTGGCCAGCCGAAAGCAGGTCACTCGGCCTGACGTGCTGGACGACTTTTGGACCAAGATCTCTGAACCGGACTTGGAGAGAATGCTCCGAACATTGAGGCTCCAGAGCCTGGTTTTCTGGATGCTTTTTCACGGATCCCACTCTCCCACTCTCCGCCTCCCAGGCTCTATACTCACCGGCTCTACTGCTTCCCCCCTCACTCGAAAGGATCCTTCGAAGCTGGAAGCTCTGGATGAATGGTTTCAAAAGACGGAGCCCAAGAAGGACAAGGCCACCATGTCGTAACTTGGGCTCGCGTTGGCTTTTTCGGGGTTGCGAAGGTCTTCATGTGGCAGTCGTCCGACTCGAATGGGTTTGGTGTGGGGTCTGAGATCTTGAGGACCGACTCTGGGAGGAAGTATATTGAATCTTGGTCGAGCGAAGCTTGGGAAAAGATAGGAAGACTTGAGATGGACATGTCCGGCTTCCAAAATGTTCAAATGAGCGGCTTAGGAGTACCCCACAGCCGATCTTGTCCTCGCAAGAAAGGAAGAACAGCTTCACGGAATAGGTGGAGGGTTGATGAGTGTGGTGGAGTTTTCCACATATGGGGATTGGTCAAAACCTGGAGCCTTAACACAATGTAGCTTGACCTTCCAGGTAGGTCAAACAATATCCTGGTTTTGACCCACGGCCATATATGACCTCGAGATGTTCACCGTCTCTTCACCCCTTGGCAACCAAGAGCGCATAGGCCCCTCACCAGTCGGGAACATCGGATGAAGCAGCGACACGAAGCAGCGTCACTGCCTTCACATTAGCAAGGACCCTACTAGGGTGGGAGGCCATCGCTACTAGGGTGGAGGCCATTCCTATTTGCCTGCAGGCTTATTTGCTGAAAGTCTTGGAGTCTCGGCCAACCGATGCGGGGAGGCCATGGCGGCGGGTCAAGAAGTTCCCCTTCGAACGTCCCCAACAGACGAGGCCCATGGATGAAGGGCTCGAGGACCTTTTTTTTCCCTACTCATTCCAATAGAGGCGTGGCTTTGACACTGGGATCCGTAACTCGGAGTCCCATCTCCATCTCCCATTTATATATTTCGTTTGGAAACTCCCAAAAAACTCCAACTTCATCTTCATCATGGTTGGAGGCCATCGCTATTAGGTTGGATGTTTCGGAAACTTCAACTCCAACTCGCTCCCAGGAGTGGAAGCTCACGCGCGGCACCTTCCGTCCGGGTTTACTGCAGAAAGCCCAGCTCAACAGCGAGGAGGAAGTGAAGCGCTGCTTCCAGCGCCTTGGGTTTCGAAGTAAGCTCGACCCGTTTGGTAGATGGACTGGTCGTTTAAAGCCATAATGTGCTGAAGCACCCATCAACCAACCAGGTCTGAATCTGATTTTTTGAGATACTTTTGTGGGGAGAAACATTGGGTATGCCACGCATCATACACAATACGTTCCTTTCCTGTTTGATTTGACAACTCCGCTACAACCACCCGACAAGAGTTACTTCTTCACTGCGGTGTTCAGGTGAAGAAGTAGGTGAAGCAGATCATTCTCAAGTGAAGAATACCTTGCAAAAGAAAGATATGACCATGCATATCCCACGGAAACCACTGAACACCCCAAGCTTCCCCAAATCGGAGACCAACACCCCCGGTCCACCTTCCCCTGGTCTTCTCAGGGCTGCCTATGACCTCTTAGCTGCACCGGACGCCGACGGCAGCAAAGCTGTGAAGGCTGGAGAGCTCTCCTTTTTTGATGAGGAAGCTGATGACTTAATGGTTCACACATCTTGTTGTTATTGATTTCAAGTGACTTGATGGATTTTAACACCCATGTTGGTCCGCTCTCGCCTGCTCTCCCTCTCATACAGGTGGACGCTCCGAGGTCGCTCCGTCACGATCCGTGGTCCTCCCCAGGCGCTCACGAGCCTCCAGGGCGTCGGCCCGGTCACCGCTTCGGCGCTGCTCTGCCGGGCGACGCCTCAGCGGGTGGCCTACATGTCCGACGAGGCGCCCACGGCGCTGACGTCGACAGCGCAAAAGGGAGGAGGCCGAGGTTTGGGGTGGTTGGTATGGGGAATTAGTATATATATATTGTGTATATAGAGGATGTATAATATTCGTGTTTTTTCAAACAAGAAACATTCAATAGCTGTATTTTGTTTACAATTGTTTAGGACACTCTTGGCCCAATTACCCAGTGGTGTTTTTGCTGAGGGTCCTGAGCAGGATGTTACCATGTTTGTATTGTGGAATCAGGTCAGGTTGGGTTCAAGCATTTAAGAAGGTCAAGCTGACAGAGAGGTGTTTCTTTCGCAGCCATAGAACTGTATCCATTTGAAGCCGAGGCTGTCCTTGGCTCCGGGCTCTTCAAGAGGGCCGCAGACATCAAGCGGCTCGGACCCTTCGGTTCACAGGCTTCGATCCGGGGATTTCCCGTTGCCGGCAGAAATGGGTAGTTGATGGTAATAGGGTGACCCCCCTGGCCCAAGGGGTCTAATGGCTTAGAAGGGTCTATCGAACCGAAACGGGTTTCTACTCCTAACAGGTCTCCATGGTGGACTCCAGGTCCCCCTGCACCCGTTCCTTGGTGTCCAAAAACCGTTCCCAAAGCCTCTGTAGCGGGTCTGGGAACAGGCTCGGGTGGTCGCTCTAGGTCTCGGGTCCGAGCAGGGTCTTGGTGTTCGGCTTAAAGGTTTTTTTGGGATGCGGATGAGGGGATGGAGATGGTCTTGGACTCTTTTTGAAGTGCGGCTAAACAGCTTGCTAAGAGAAGAAACAGCTTGCTTCCCATCGATCCCACATGTTTCTTCTTCGAAACGTTGAAGCTTGAAATCGAATGTCATGACTGAGACAGTCATATGGTCAGATACTGCAGCAAGTCCAAGATGATTGCTTGACCTCCTGAGTCCCTCGAGGTATGATATGAAGACCTACACTAGGTTCAATCAGCTTGCATCTTGCCCGCGATTCATGAATCCTGGTTCAGATGTCGAAAGCCGGACAGCAGATTTCACCACACATTGTGTCCAGTGTTTCAGTGTGTTTCAGCATACTGATGCACGTATAATTGCATAATTAATTGAAGCAAACCAGCGTCTATGAGCTCCAAAGAAGCTTTCTTTACTCACTTGGCCTGAAGATTTTTGAGACAATGTGTAACATCCGGCCAACCGTCATCGGGACGGTTTCGAGACAAATGGTAAAGCATCCTGATGTTCATGGATCGATAGTAGAGTGGCGTGGAGCAGTGTAGGGTACAGCTGTGCATGCCTTGCAAGATGTTGGTCCAGCAAGACTGCAAGTTACAAGCCGGTTTCCATCAATGAAGTAGCTTCCTGATAATATGTCAACAGGAAATTACCCAAACTAATAGATCACATGACATGTGTCACCTCATTGTAAAGACACATGCACTCAAAACAACACGCCAGCCCCTAATGACGAACTAAATCCCTTGCCGTCCCGCTTGACTGTCCCGACCTTCCCCTCTGCCCGATCGTCAGGTTCAGGCGAAAGCCTTGGAGCTCGGAAACCGCTGGACCGGCGATCAGGTTGCCAAGGCATTGTGGACACATGTGAAGCTCCAGGGGGTCCAGTCGCCAGCGTCTTCCAAGGCGTGGATGCGATGTGGAGACGTGAGAGATTGTGAGAGGAGGAAGAGTAGAGAGGTTGGATGAGGAGTCGAAGTCATAAAGATCGGATGGAGTTCGGGAACGCAACAGGAAGTTGCATTCGACTGAAGGCACACTTTTTGTACGACTCCCCATACTGTATTCTCAAGTTCCTTCCAGCCATCACAGCCGGCAGGTCGTTGGAAAGCCGGCAGCTCAAGCGGTACGGAAGAGCATCAAGAAGAAATGAAAGGATGTGAAAGAGATGGCGGAGATGCCCAGATGGGCGGAGATGCTCCAACGATGTCGACCAAAAATGCGCCTCTGACTCTGGAGTAGTGCTTGCCTTTGTCAGAGACCTTACCGCCACATCCCAGGCCCCAGTTAAATCCAAAAGCCTTGCAACGAACACGATCAGACCATCAGGTCCGTTTGAGTTTAACACCAGAGAGGCCTTTGGATCTTGATCCTTGCACGTGTTCGGTCCTGGTCCGTTTGATAGATTCTGGTCCTGGTCGCTCACCGGCCGAATTGTCATCGCATCACACTTCTCAAACAGATTATTGGAAGGTTATTTCTCAAACACGTCAAAAGAGATTCGACTGCGCAGTCCCTGCTCGATCTATCTATGTTGCTTTTGCCTCGAAAGGCTCCTATAAGACTTATTCTGGATGGAGGTTGAAGTCCGCCAGGAACCAAAAGTTGAGTCTCCACAAGCACCGCCAGAGCCGGCTGGGATGCCAGGTTGGCTTGCTTTCGAGATGACATCATCTTCTTTATCTACATCTACCAGCGCTGGAAGTGCGCAGTGCGGTCACCATGTTTTTCCCAGCGCTGGAGCTATTGGAACATTTCATCAGGTCCACCCCCCCCCCCAACCAGCAGAGTTTGCCCAGGCAGAGTGATGTGCCTAGATACGATAGTGATGTGCGCAGCATGTGTTCCACCAGGGCCATCATCCCCATTCCCCAACCAAAGAATAGACATATCATGAAGCCTGCCGAGACGGGGGACCGACCAGCATGCGACCTGCTTTGATCTTCGACTGGTTGACGTCGTTTTCGTGTGGAGGTCCGCTTCTGCTGGGTGTCCGCAGGTTGGGTCCCGTTTCTGCTGAAGAAGGATGACCCAACCAGCAGACCATCGGCGCCTAGCGATGCGCTAGGGGCTAGGCGCTAGGTATACAGATGTATACAGTATATTTAACTTATTTTAACTTGTTTCTGGGGCTGCTACAAACCGACCACTCGTGTCTTGTGTGGTAAGAACCCCTTTCACGCGGGCTCCCTTCGTGGCTTCTCAGTCATGGAGGAGCTAACCTCAAAGAACACACGCAACAACCAAACTCGCGTGTTTTCAGTGCGAGTGAAGCGACACAAATCGATGCGCGAGTGTTCCTCGTCCGCGCAGGTACCGCGTGGACAAGAATCGACCCACCTCATGGGCCCCTTGGTTTGGACGTTTTGACGTGTCTTGCAGCGGGGAATTCTGGGGCGAACCTTGGAAGCGTCGGAACAAAAGAACTTCCAAAGTGAATGGTGGATCGCAGCAAAAATCATATGAAGAAACCCATGCCCATGCGGATGAGGGTTGACTGAGCAGTCGCTGTTTGCGAAGGGCAAACTGGGCCAACTTATGGCAGTATCTCCGATCTTCCAACTAACGTCGGATTCGGACTCGCCGCTACCTTTTGGGATGTTGATTCCTGTTCTGTGAAGCTCACAGAAAGAAGGCAAAAGCGTGGTGGTTGGAGCCTATTGAGAGATGGGTGGACCTGCTCCCTCCTCATAGCATCTCATAGGTCACCCAAGCAAAAGGGATGGAATTGAAGCCTTCGGTCAGCATACCTAGTCCTCCATAAGTGGCTGTTGCATCCTTCGCATCCTTCGGACATCTTTGGGGTGCCTTGGAGTTGTGTGGCAGTGGTCTAGTGGTCTCCGTAGCTTTTGCTTGGAACATCTTTTTACCAGATGGAGGATGTTTGCTTTCACCCTCTACTTCCAGGTATGGGTTGTGACCGACCTGAGTTGATGCATTTACAGCATCTTCCAATGCTTCCCACTAAGGGGGGTCAAGAGGAGCCAGAGGAGCCAGATCACCCAACGTGCGGTCCTCAATATGAAGGCAGCAGCGGTGACTGACTGACAGTATCCAAGCTGCTCAATCCATTCATGGAGAGCAGGTGGATGCCTACAACCATCATGAATCATCAACGTGGAAGGCAGATTTCACCCTTGCTTTCTGCCTTGCGGGATTTGTCCTTCTTGCGGTACCACACTTGCTACCAGACGCGAGCCGGCCGATTTTTGGATATGGATAGAGATTGAAGTCTGTAACCGTCTGTAACCGCAGTACGACCAATAATGATAGGTCAAACTCGTCAGACTGGGATGACGTCATGATAGGAGTCCTGGATGCATCAGGGCTGAAAAAAGCTCTTCAAAGGACTGGTTTTGTTTCTTCATGACCTCCAAATCAGAAACATGATGTCATCATGAGTGTATTCATGATGTTTTGAAGTTGCGAATGGTTTTGTTATGTCTTGGTCCCAAGACATCAAGACATGAGGAACTAGTGGTTTCTGAGCCTCCATGAAAGACACACCGGAGACCACACACGCCATCGAGGTTGGAAGGGAAGAAGCTACCAGCGGAAGAAAGCCAGTGAGGAAGCTCAGGAGCACAGGCAGATTGCCTAGCAATACGAGCCAGAATGTTACCATAAATTATATAGCATGAAAGCCTAATGTAAAGAACAATGGACTTCCAAGGGCTCATTCCGTAAAAATGTTTGTTGAAGGGAAGGGGTTGACTGGATGGACCTATAAGATGGTTCCATCCAATGTTCCTTTGATTGCCATGTTTTTGCTGTACCCGGAGCTCCCAGGGGGGTGGAAGAGGAGAAGTCGAAGCCTGGGTGTGGGGTCCCAGCTCTCAGCTAGCTAGTCAAAGATGGGGTGGGGGACGTCCTTGTGAAAATAGGCGCGTCCTTGTAGAATCATATGATCATCAGGCTGGCTGTACAATGGACATATGGAGATAGGTCGGAACGGATGTCTCAAAATAGGAAGAGTTGCTGGGAACACACGGGTCCTAGACAAAGCAGGGAGCATTTCTACCCAGACCAAGACCTCCTAATGTTCAGGAGACGAGGCTCCAAACATTTGTGTCTCTCACAAATCCAGAGTGCATTCTAATACATACATATTGGCAGACTTAGGATACCATAGGCCTTAGGATACACTCTAGGCCTCTAAAGTATAGGGCCTGGGATACTCTAAGGCCTTAGGATACACTAAGAACTACTATCTTAGGCCTTGGACTATCCAACAGACCGTCGTAGACCCTTGGACTACCCTCATGTCGACCTGCCAAGGCCCGAGTCGAACCCGGTCGAGTCAGACGAAAAGGGTGAGAACGAACAGCAGTGGGGTCCCAGGGTTGGGGTGGGTTGGTGGGTTTGGGGTGGGTAGTAGGTGGTGAGCTTTGATTTGTGGTACGTAGTAGATGGGGTCATTGAATGGATGCATGCAAACGCTAGATCCAATGACACAGCCAACATATAAGGGCATGTACGAAGGCAAAACTGGACTATGCAGCAAAATACCGCCACACCACAGGAAGTTTTGGAAGGCAACAACAAAGCAGAAAAACAACACATGCACAGCTGAATTTCCCAGTAAGAGAAGGTGCACTAAGTAAGGCAAAAACATACAAACACACAATTTATGTGTTTTTGTATGTGTTATATTATGTTAATTCTTGAGTTTTGAGAGTTAGGTTGTAGCATGCATGTTAACATTTCAGTAGATGGTAGCAATCACTGGAACGTTCGGCTGAGTCCTTACATGCACACAGTCATGGCAAGGTGGCAGGTTATATTTGGGAAGAGTCATTCTCTAGTAGATAGAACCAGAACATAGGAATCCTTGCCACTACTGTCAGCACATCATCTTCTCATCTATGTCTTTGGTTTTGTCACGTTTTGTCTATTTGGATTGTCCGACCTTGTCGTCTTCGGACGACCAAGTTCTGTCAGGACGACGAATCCTGGTTTCAGCGAACCCCGCGAAAACGGCTAGCGGCTAGACCGTGCGAACGGCTCCATGAGACCGTGAGTGGGTTCCTGTTTTCCACACCATTTCTGGGATCTGTAGGAATACATGAGCAAAACCAGGAGCATAGTTCCATTTCAATCAAGCACTCATCTTTTTTGGCATATAGATAGGTTGTGATCATGTTCGTTTTGAGTCGGTGGCACCCACCGACTCTGTGACTCTGTGCAACTCCTTTCATCGGCCAAGGCCACAAGAGGCCCAAGAGCGAAAAACTGGGGAAAACGGGCAGAGGAAAACTGGATGGAACAAGGAGGGTATGGCTGGAACATATGGCCTTGTACTATTAGTTGATAAATAGAGGAGATACCCCGACGTGTAGAACCAACCCCTCTATGATTCCCAAAAGAACATGGGAGGCGGGTATGGCTGGAACTTGAATGATTCATCTCTGCCAGAGAGATGCACTGGCCATCGGTTTGCTTTACGTTGGCCAAACTGTTGACTGCCTGGGTTGGTTTTCTCAGCAACGAAACGATGACGAGGAAAGCTACGTGTGTAAAACCAATGAAAGCAAACACTGGACAATAAAAGTAACAGGCCTCCAACAAGCTTGGGGGCATAGATTCAGGGGACGCCTCGAGTTTGGCCGTTTGAGCTTCCCCTACACGTCGGAATCCCGACACGTCGACGAGTGTTTTTCTGCGGTGGGAGTCGAAACCAGACACCACAGAAAAAACTCGACACCGCGACACCGTGGGAATCCCTACACCGCAAAAGTTGTACAATCTTACAAAGAGAGGAATTCAAGTGTTAGCTTTCCCTCTCCGCAGCGGTGTTGAACTGCATGGAACTCAGAGCTGTACAAGGTTCCAGGTAGCCAAAGGGTAAACTGCGCAGAGGCTGACTGTGCATCAACTGCCTGGGAAAAAGAGCGATCTCACCAAGAATTGAAGGTCAGGAGTTGACCTCAGAGTGAGTCTCCACAGATATTGTCTCCTTGAAGCAGGATCAGGCAGTTGGCCCACAGTTTGCCAATCCACCCAACGCAGAGTTGGCATTATAGCATTATGTGATACATGGCATCCAAGCGTCATTGAGTAATACATATAATATATATATATATAAGCTTTAGAACAATCCAAAGAACCATCTATCTCTGATCTCCAAGAGTTGTTGAAAACATAAACAGTGTTTCTTTGCTGCATGTGTTTCGCTTCCTTTGCCTGCTTTGGCATTTGACGAGTCTGTATTAAGTCTCAGTTGACTCGCCATGACGAATGCTGCGGCGGCGGTGGAGAAGTTCTTGGCAGAGAACCCAGTTGATGAGACACGGCTATTTCTGATGAATGCGCCTCCAAAGACACAGGGATTGTGTTGGTCCTGATTGTGTTGGGTCAAGTAGAGATGATGCACATCCATTGACCGGCAAACATGTAAAAATAGAGCCAGGAAACACACGTCGTGTGCTTTGCATCGATTGTGTTGGGTCATATCACATCAGTTCTGCTGTATCGAGGGACAAAGGCACTCACCTCCAGGATCTGGAGCCCCCTCCGGGATCAGAGAGGCCAAGCGATGTGGCGGTTTGGACAGACCGTAGCTACCTCTTCCAGGTCAAGCGATGTGTTGGGGGCCCATCCCCATATGCCTGACCCCATGCATCGCCATGCATAGCCATAGACCCTGTCGTTGACCCCCTTTCAACCATCTCCATCTGCTAAAAGATGCTGTTCATCCCGGAGTCTGACTGGGGAAGGTCGGCGGTGGCTCCCACCGGTGGAGTGGAGTCAAAAATGGATGTCTCGGCTGGGCGGGTTCGACCGGTGTGATCAATTTCTTTGTACGGATGATGAAGAATTGCACCACCAGGAAGGACAGTCATTAGTGATAGTTTCAATATACTGATGTCGTGCCTTCAGGCAGTCCTTCAGGCATATGATTTCATGTCAAGATCATGTTCTTTGTATTTTTACACTCCTTTTCTATTCCAAGCGTCGTGTCCGGCCCGCACCTCTGCCACGCGGTGCCCGCTCCGTTCTGAGGAACGCGCGGCCTCCGCTCTGCGCAATGCCACGCCCGAGGTTCAGCTGCAGGTGAGAACCTCCCAGCAGAGCGACATGTTTCAGAGTAGATGGCCCAGCACCCCAAGATGTTTGTCGACAGATGGAGATGGAGGGCCATTTTTTGAAAAAAAAGCAGGATGGTGTGCCATCTTGTGCCATCGAAGCTCTCAATCCACTGTAAATCTTATAGTGCCCAAAGGTCGATTTCATGGACCCAACTAATTAGTAGCACACAACTAGTAGACTAGTAGCACATGTCCCAACTTCCCAGGCCTTTTCATCCGTTGGATGACCATGGAACCTCCTCGGACCCTACAGGAACCCTCCTCGGATACCGTCGGAGCTCGCTGACGGTCCACCGGGTCAGGCCATGGAGCGGGGCTCCTTATCAGAGCCTTGCTGACGGACGTGACGCGTTCGGAGGTGAGGGATGTGTGGCGTCTGAGACATGAAACCAATCATAACCAATCCCCTCCGTCGTTCAGGAACAGCTGACCTCCTGTCAGTCTTGGCTTTTCTGAGGGAGTACATTCTTGAGTTTCACAAGGGATGAGGTGTAGAACCCTGTTCCTATGGACGTAGCTCAGCTCCTGAACTAGTCCACATCAACGTGAAAGCCATCCATCCCAAAGGCCAAGGGGTCTGCGAATTCTGGAAGACGCAGCAAGTGATGTTGCTGCAACATCATATCTACCTCAATGAATGTATTTTCTCAAGAGAGTCAGAGTGACAGGAGGGGTTGGCCCTCTGTAGACCGTGCAGGTTACGGAGACGACTTTGGACCGACGTTCTGCAGTAGATCAAGGAGTCACCAACACACCAACAAGGAAGTGGAAACCCCCCTCGTTCCAAGGGGCCCTTTTCCACTTCCATGATTATTCCAGGCAGTGTACGAATTGCAAGATGTCACATTGCTGAAATTACAAGCTCCAATATATGTCATTCACTATCTCTCGAAGGATGAGTGAGGCCTTCTCAGGACAACTTTGACTTCCAGTTCACCTGCCAAACACAATATTCCTCCCAACAAGCCTGCCAGGAAAAACGTTAAACAAATAAACAATGTATATATATATATATGTATATATATAACTTAACAGGCAGGTGTTTTCCGCACCATCCATCATTTCACAACATCCATCTCTTCCAGTTCACCTGCTGCATGCTCACTTCGGTGCTGCTATCACCTTCCACAACCAGAATCCATCCCCATCCGAACATCGAAGAAATCTCCTTCCATCTTTCATCCTTTGCAGAACTTGGTTCCACCATCTTCCATCCGGTTGGGATTGCACCCAGTGCGTGGAAGAAGAGTTTCCCAGAACCCGCCGCGAACCCTTCCTCTAAGGATTGCAAGAACCCTTCCGCGGCGCTGATGGTCCGCATCAATGGCTCGGCGGGACGTGGCTCGGACCCGGACACATCCTTCAAACAAAAGAACATGTCCTTTGAAAAGACTACGACTACGGCTACTCTCCTTTGTAGTAGTAATATGTCGAAAACAAACACATACATCTGTTGAGAAGTGTTTTTGGAACATCAGCAGTTCCGGTGCTGAAAGAGGCTGGCGCCCAGAGGATCCACAAAAACTTGGGGAAGGGGTGTCTACCAAGCCATTTCTGACTGCCCTGTCATCATTAAACAACTAGAGCTTGGTGGCAGCAGCATAGAATCCAACGGAATGTGCTTGGCACAATGGAAGACTCCAAATGTTGTGATAGACTGTGCAACTGTTGTTTTGCTGGTGAAACCAATCATTTATCGGGCTTGTTCCTGGTCATTTTGATCAGCACCACAAGAACTCCACAATCCTGGGCATCCACCATGCCTGTGCGTTCTTGCACCCTGTGGATAGACCTCTTCGTGTCGGTGTGTTTGTATGTATGTGTGTGTTGACAGTCTTTGGCAGGTTTGATGAGAAGTGCCTTTAACAAACAAGTGGGAGGTGGGTCAAATTTTCATCCAGCAGAAAAAAAGCAGAGAGACGTCGGTCTCAACGCCGGTCCGCCCAGATTCCTCGCACAACTCGGGGCTCAACCAGCGGGACATGCAGGGCACGCCGGAGGAAGTTTGGGCCACTCGACTTCAGCGAGCCGAAGTCGACGGCTTCGGCTGACCGAACGCTTCGGTTTTCAAGCGGCACGCCTTTAAAGAGGCTTCGAGGTCGAAGCGGCACTGATGTTCTACGGTTTTTGGTTTTGGTGTTTTCGGTTTTGGTGGACTGGCAGGGAGAGGCCCACCAGCATAGTGAATAATCTGAATAGTTAGTTATAAAGATTGGGAGTCAGCTCTTCTCGTGGTGGCATGTGGCTAGAGTATGGTATTGAGCTATATTGAGATGAACATGGCTTTTCACAGGAAGGAGCCCAGCCGTTCAGGTGCCAATTGTTCTACATTATGCACTATTATAATTAATATAGTTGTCATCAGGTTTTGCAGTTTAGATCATTCAGTCTTGTTGCAAGGACATAACCCTTCCTCCACTCAGCTGGACGGTTTTCACCTTAGAGGTCCAAGAGAACCCCCCAGAATCCAAGTGTCCACGTTTGCTGGTTTGATGTGGTTGTTCTGTTCCTTTGTTTTCCACGTGTGTGACCACTCACCAGCGTCCTGGGCGGTCCATTGGAGGCGAAGATTATGGCTAAGAACAAGAGTGGCCAGACCCTCAGTTCTGACCGACCGATGCCCAGACCGGCTTTCAAGGCAGGCGCATGGCCAGGGCACTGGCCGCCTTGGCCAGGCGATTCGAGTTCGGGTGCTATTTTAATTTTACCAAAAATGCCAAAGAACGACGCTCATGGTTTATACACAATCATTTTTACACTACACTACAGGGCTTAAAGTATTTCTTCCGGCTATTTTGAAAGCAATGGAGTCCTAGGGCCCTAGGGCTGTGACCCACATTTACATCAAAGGCTTGTGCAGAGTGTGTGCAGGGTACAGGTAGCGTTCTTGCCTGTTTCATAACAAAAGGTGTTGTGTTCCGCTCGAGGCCACATGGTCATGCTTTTCCAGAACGGGGAATGCAACATAGAAGGGGATGCAAGCCCAAGGCTAAAAAAAAATGGTAGAGTATTTCTCCCAGGACATCGCAGATACCTCAGGCTGTCCTACTCGACCTGGTAGGATTTCTTCTCCGCTTCTAAAGAGGCCACGATCTTCTCGTGACAGTGGATGCCAGACGGTCCACGGTCCAAGATGGTCCGAGATGGCGGATTTGTGAAGTCGTGCTCAGCGAGGTCGGATCGGGGTGGCCACTGATGCACATACGTATAGATGACAGTCTATGCTTAGTCGGATGATTGTTTGGGAGTCGGGCTTCTTGCTCACCTCCAGCTCTCAGCACAGGGATTTGGGTTGAGTCTTTGAATCCACCTGGGGCGCAACAGTGGCCATCTTGGATCTGGCATCGCCACGAGTGGACCCAAACCGCCAGGCGATCAGAATTTACTCAGCCAGGCTCCCCGTGTACCCGGGGCCCGCTAAGTTCTGTTTTTTTTCCGCCTGCCCGTTGGGACTGAAACCGGCAAAAGCACAAAGCTGGGGGGGGGAGCGTTTGGCTGTGGTAAGGAATCTGAAGCCTCAGAGATCATGTTTCAATCACAGAGAACCGTCATATCTCACTCGGGTTGATTTGTTTTGTCAAAGGAACTCTAAAGGATTAGGAAGGCTAGACACTGGAAGAGCAGTGAAGCACGGCAGCAGTGGAGCTTGCTGTAGAGAATGCAGACACTAAGGCTAGAGAGATCTAGAGAGGCTAAAGGCCCCTTGTAGGCATTAGGATACAGCGATATTAGTAGGAAGTTCCAACTCTTAGCGGATTACTGCCTTCAGATAGGAGCCCGCTCCAGATGGTGGCACTGGTGACGTGTTTTGCTGGATGATTCGATGCAATCTTAGGATGATTCGGGTCCGGTAGAGTACGTAATGTACTTCAGCAGCTCAGCTAGTTTCGTTACTCCAACTGCCCGAGAAATTGGATAGCGATTCATTGAGTGCTCACTATGGCGGCATGGAACTGAGGCTGCGACATCAGTGCAATTATAGTATGTTTTTCCGGGTAACATAGGACCACTGAAAAGTGAATACGGATGCCCTTCTTAGGTGCCTGTGTGTGTGTTTGTGCTATCAGAGAATAGTAATAGATGAGAATAGTTACTAGACGATGTTAGAGGAGAATACTCAGTGGTACACTTGGAGATGTGGCGTTGTTGCAGCAGGGGATGCATTGCTACTGATTCAGGCGGTTTTCAGAGTAATTAGCCCATTGGTCAGGTGTGCATCCAGAAAGATGTTGGTCGGAAGACTCAACATCGAGCCTTTTATAAATGCTCGAGGAGGAAGCCACCCAGCCCGGTCCAGTTGACTTTGCTGGAAGAGCACGCTGCCGGCACGATTCTCCGATTCTCCGCGGGTTGGGTGAGTCTGCTGAGCACTCGGCAAGGCTGAAGTTCATACCTAGAGTCTAGAGCCCTGGACTTCTGGGTTGTCACTTGTGAGGCCTCACGTTGCTTGAACGTTTGTACCTGATATTTACCTCGCCGCACCAGCAAACTCCCAGTCACAAAAACCCACCAAAATATCTCAAGTCAGGCAGTCTTCCTCCCGCCCTCCTCCAGTCTTCCGGAAAGTCCTCCCCAAACCAAAAAGAATGGAACCACTTCTTCCCCGAAAAATGTTTGTCCTTCTTCCCCCGATCTATCCAGGCATTCCAGGCCTTGCCTTGGGCGGCCTGGACGCTGCCAGCTCCGCAGCGGCCTCGCAGATCGCGGCCGCGCAGTGCCGTGGACGGAGACGACAGTTCGTCAACCGGGACCACGAAGGCAGTAGTCGTTTTGGACGCCTAAGCGTCCTTGCTACTAGTAGTAACCGATGCCGCTGCCCTTGTTACTAGTAGCTTCTTGTTACTAGCTTGCTAGAGCATCCGAGTGCTGGAAGAGCTGAATAGACTGGAGTGCTGGCGCACTTCGGAAGGCACTTCTTTCTCCAGACTAGTCTTCAAGCTTTAGATGAAGTGTTTGTTCTGTGTCAGTACTGCCACCATCAAGTATAGATCAGGTTATAATAAGGAACATTTAAGAATTGTTTTTTGGTCTATACTAGTCTATCTACATCTATCTACTGTGACCCCGAAATGCACTAGCCCACACATTCAGATATTGTAAATTGTATCCATGCATTGAGGGACCACTCTACCTCCTTCTTTTTTCGATTTTTGATCTCTTGACCTCCGCTGCATGTCACAGACTCCAAGGCTCGCTGCCGCGGCACAGCAGCAGCAATTGGCAATCCAACTGTACTATCAACAGTGGCTCAGCTGCTACCAGGTAGGTTGGTGTTGGTGTTGGTTCAACAGGTGAAATGTGGAACACGTGGGGTGTTCTCCACGTATCTGGCCGGAAGATTGACCTGACGATTCCATGGTGTTGATGTGTCGTTTGTTTTTTGACTGGGGCCTCAGCAAATGACGGCCATGTGGCAAGGTATAGGTTATGGTTATTATAGTATAGTTAACTCCCTTCCAGTGGTGCCTTTTTGTCCCATCTCAGTTGACCTTCCAGGCCCGGGCGCTTCTATTTGCATATTAGACATAAGATGACAGAAGTCTGACATGTAGGTTCGATGCTTTCTCAAGCTGCAAAACCTCATCTCCCAAGTCAGGCTTATCACTTGCTTCCAATTAGGCTTTTCCACCACAACTGCCCCAAAATCCCTCCAACAAAATCCACCCACGAAAACGAAAACCATTAAGAAGAATACATGCAAAGAATTAGGAACAAGACACGGGTTCCACAAACGGATCCAACGAGCGTTGCTACGAGCACCGACGAACCTCGCCCTCCTGTGAGCCAAGGCTCGCGGCCCAACAAGTGGCCGCTCAGCAGCTGGCGGCATCGTTGGCGGTCCAGGCCCTTTTGGGACGGATGAAAGCGGAAAGGCCGAGAATCTCGACGGGGGAACCAGTGATATACGACCGATCGGTCAGCCTGCCAGCTTCGTCGACCAGAAAGCTCGTTTTCCAAATCTGAATGGCTGAGTGGTTTAAAATTCCTCCCAGGACCCCAGATGACCCCAGCCCTTTCAGTCCTTTCAGGGTCCACCGATGCAAGGCGCCCACCGACCCAGCCGCTGCCGCTGCTGCCGCCGCGGCCGCGGGCGCCCTGCCCGGCGCCGTGCCCGGTGCCGTGCCCGCGGCTCCGTCGCCGGGCGCGGACCCCGCGCTGGCGGCCGCCATGGCGTTGACGGCCTCCGGAGGCGGTGGACGGAGAGCGAGAAGTGGGGGAGGGGAAGGGTGTTTTTTCGGGGGTGTTGTGGTGTGCAAGCCGTCACAGGGATTGGATGGGTTTTGGGTATCCAATATCAAGACAGCACATCCTCTTGGGACGATTGGTTTCTGACCGATGATGTGATGGGATATCAGTGGCCCACGGAGTAGCATTGTGATTGACCCTACTGTGCCGCTGAACACGGCAAAAGCACCATACCATTCACAAAGATGACTGGTGCGAGATGAATGGACGTCCAGTTGGTGGCGTAGAAGATTCTGTCGTTCAACATGTTTCATGAATTATCCCACTGGAGTACAACCATATCGATGATACTTTTTGGGGGGGGGATGGCTTCAACCACCACCCAAGACTGTGTGAACTGGGAATCACCCATGTAATTGTCTAATTGACATTTCATCCACCAGTTCATCCACCCACCACGGTGCAGGTCTTGAAGGCTTGGCAGCTGCTGCCCCACCTGCCGCGGCTCCGCCGGTCGCACCGGTTCCGGGTGCTGACCCCACTCTGGCGCCGCCCATGCCGCCGATGCCACCCACCGATCCCATGGGGATGCCGCCCCCACACATGCCGCCGATGCCACCACAGGACGGGGGCTCTGGGGACGGTTTGGTTTGGACCAAGAGTGTCAGACATGAAGCATCATATTCCGATATTGGTTCAGATATTCTGAACTCGCATGGGAGCATTAGCGTTCCGAGTTTCTCTGGAATTGAATGTTTGGGGCCTGGCGTTGTTCCAACAGATGTTGCTTGGAGCAGGAAGATCCCGGCGCCATGGCCTTCCCTCCTCCTGCCTTTCCAGACCTCTCCGCCCCGCCGCCCACCTTCCCCGACCTCACGGGCGGTCCAGCACCTGGGGCTCCGACGTTTCCGGACCTCACCGGTGGCGGGAACGTGGGAATGACCAAATCAGCACCTCCACGGCCACCAAATGAGGCGTATGCCGGGCTGAAGGGGGATGGGAAGGGGATGTTCCCACCTGACTGGGGAAAGTGGGAGAAGGGCTTTGATGGAAAGGGATGTGGAGATGGCAAAGGATTTGGAGATGGAAAGGGATGGGGTGGTGATGCTTGGGGTGGAGGTGACGTCTGGACTAACGGCAAGGGCTGTGGCGATGGAAAAGGTTTTGATGGCTTTGGAGATGGCAAAGGCTTCGACAAGGGCTGGGGTGGCAAGGGCTGGGGCGATGGAAAAGGCTGGGGTGACGGGAAAGGATGGAATGATGGAAAGGGTTGGGGAGGGCCAAAGGGTTGGGACAAGGGAAAGGGATTCGGCAAAGGAAAGGGCTGGGATGGCAAGGGCCCGGGCTATGCTCCCTACTGAGCGGACGAATTTGAGAAGTAGAAAGCATCTTGTTGATGGCTTTGGGCTGCCACCATGAAGCTGCCATCCATATCCGAGACCACAGAGTGTTGGGGAAATCACTGGATTTGTGACTCTTGCCTGTGGCACGTCCTGGCCTCAACAACGCGCAGACGCGAGAAGAATCATCTCGCAGCCAAAGAGTTTGGTGATCAACGCGTCTCGGGCAGTTTGAAGTGGTCGCATACAGGCGAATAGAAAGGAGAAAACCATGAGTCAATGTTATGATTTATGATGCTTTTTGGACATGTTATCACTCGGATTCAATGTTATTCACTGTTACAAGAGATGAGATGTTATTATGATGTCTTTATTTGACATGATTCAATTCAATGCTGCCATCGGACAAGACACCACGGACCTTTTTGCTGTAGAGCACTGAACATTTGTAGAGGTTTTCTGCGTCTCCTCTGCCCCAAGTACCACTTGCACACGCTGCAAGGCTTCTTTGAGTTCTATGTTGTTTCTGCTTACTGCTTCACACGCTTTCCAGACGAAGATTGGCTCACGCAACAGTCCGACTGAAGCTCTTAGTACGTAGCTTGGTGGCTTAGTGGCTTAGTGTGAATCGGTTTCTGGGTGTAGAAGTTTGAGCATCCAGCACGAATGACAGAAGTCGTAGGGTGCAACAATTGTGTTGCCCAGGAAGCGAGCTACAAAACCACTTAAATTCCTACCATTTCACCTAGGCAGCTCAGGGTTGTACTGAGGGAACCAGACACCAGCTAGTAGCTCTTCTTCAAACTGCCCGGCGCTGAGCCACAAGAGGGTCAGTCTCTGCGAAGCGACAAGCTCGCTCGCTTCGTGACCGTGGAAACACGGCGCCCAGCAACATGGAGACATAGAGATCGTCACAGATCCCGACATGGGTTCTGCGGACCTGGTCACACGGCCATGACACTGTCAAGATGTGGTGTTTGGGGTTGGGGTTGGGGTTGGTTGTGTTTGATCATACGAACCAACTGCAGATCAACCGGATCCATGTGGTCATCCAGTACGCTGAACAGAGCCTCTTGGGTTTATGATATATATATATATATATGTGATGTTCTTGTTACTTGCAGTTCCTGTCACTGCTTCAGCTAGGGAAATGAGTTTATCAATTTAACCTTGAAGGCTGCGGATATATTGTACACGTCTCAACTCCAAATGGTGATATTGTTGCCGCGTCACACATAAATGCATGCACATTGCAACCTGTCGAAAAGGTTTTCTCTTGGATCCTCAATGGCGACCTTGGGATTTCATCCCTGGCTGATGCGTTTGCAGCACTTTGCAACTGGCGATGTTTGAGAACTCAAACTGACCAAGCGAACAGTAAACTTAGTAAACCACAAGAACCGCATCAAAACAATGCTTGGGCGACGTCACAGGAGAGTCGTCTCACGAGGAATCTTGAATCCTCGCTATCAAAAAAGAACGCTAGACCCGATGGCCGCTGCACTGCGCGCTTGTGGAGTGTCGAGCATATGTTCGGCGGGTTTGTGGACCCTTGTAATTATAGCTTTTGAATGTCTTAATGAGGGTTGCTGATCATTGGCACGAATCTCTCAACCACCTCGCTTGCATGATGTTTGTTGAGAGTCGGGTTTGTTGAGAGTCGGTGTGATCATCAAACCGGGGGTTCGGAGCTGAGACCATCAGCGATGCACAATCAGAGAACATGGGACAACCATCCTTGTTGAAGGCCTGAAAGTGGGTTCTATTGCACTGGAGCGCGGAGGTCTCATTGAGATTCTTGGTCCACAAATAAGAACAAGGCCCCATATATATACCTTCGCAACCCGTTACCTTCTTTTTTTTTGGGTGGAGAAAAATAAGATAGCTTTTATAAAAAAAAGCTATGTTTTACAATTCCTTGAATCTTTGTGCTCTGACTGGGAATGCAATGAACTGCATAATGTTGCATCCATGTCACAATTCACAGGTAAATAATGGATCCCAACCCCTGGTGTGTGATCCCAACTGACCATGGAGCGCGCCAAAACTTTTCACCCCAAGAGGCCAGCCTTGGTAAAAGCTGTAAATGCTGCAACGAGATACCTTTCAAGGGATCTTTGTGCTACCAGGCGGATGTTCACACGGCGGCTTAACCGGGAAGCTCTCCCAACCGTGTCCTCATCCATTTGACACCCCCACATTGTGGGGTTCACAGCAACTTTTGCTGTGGACCCCTGCCGCTGCACAGTGATCATGATATGGTGAAACATATGTAGCTTCGGGTAAAGAGGGTAAAGGTGCTGCCTCCCAGCATTGAACATTGCAGCTGCCATAGTGGCATAGCAATCCAGGAAAGCCAAGCCCTGCGTCGCAACAAAAGCAGCCTGCTCCTCTGTCAAAAAAGCTCCACTTCTGTAAAGCACAGAAAACATGGCGTTCATTCTGTATGTCACAGCACGACACTTCATGGAGTAACCATCTGGATCACGAGGAAGTGTTCCCAAAAAATCCACCAGCCACAACATGAAATTGCTTGTAAGGGCACCCTTGTGCCAATGACCCATGGCACCAGTGGCATCATTGTAGGAAATCAAGTACGAGCTGATTCGACTAATGTGGGCCTGCTTCTTGTTCGAACAGCACCATGCAAGATATTCCGTTGTCATGAAGTCAAATTTTGCCTCCAAGTTCGGACAAGGCATAAAAGGCATCATGAGTTGAAGAACACTGCATATCCAAGATTTGCCAATGCCAAGATGACAAATGTGCCATACATCACTCTTGAAGAAGTCTGCCGGGTCCTCAGTGTCATGCAAAAGGTGCTTGATGACTGCTGGGCACCGAGTCCATGGCAACTTCACTGCCACAGTGCTGAGCCACGTTGGATCAGCTGTGGAAAGCTCTTCAGCTGGATACATTCGAGTACCTGCAAGGCAATACGGGCAAACTCCTTTTGGTGCACCACGCTCTTCACCCCTCTTGGCAGTTGTGTTGTAAGCACGGTAAAAACGTCCAACCTTCGAAAGGTAGGGTGCATCACCCTTCACCCCCAGGATGACCACCCTGAAGGTCTCATGACCTCGCGCCACATCCACATAACCTTGCTCTAGCAGTTTCCGGCAAGATTTGGCTGTGTGTTCCATCGCACTGTTGAACAGCTCCGGGTTGCCATCATAAGCAGACTTTGGAATTGTATGTACAATCCATCTGGTCGTGAACGAATGACCAGCAAAGTTGACCTTCAAATCCCGTGATGTGCCTGCATGGTTAACCCGCTTCTGATCATAGCCCCGCCCAAGTGCAGATTGAAGTGAAGTCACAAGCATTGCACCCTTTTTCAGGGTGCGCCCCTCATCACCATGCAACACAAATGCTGCGGTTCTACTCAAGTCCACATCGTCCCGGTCAAATAGACCAAAGGTTGGATGGACCTTGCGGTACAACTGCCAAAACTCTAACCAATTCTGACAAGCCCCATCATAGTCATGAAGACCACAGCCAGCAAGCACTGGCCAAAGCCCCTTATCAACCAGAAAACGAAGCCACGACGCAGGCGATATCCAAGGTATTTTTGCTCCGTTGCAAAGAATGGTCCTGATTGGTATATCTAGCTTCGTTTTTTGTTTCTTGATGGTTCGGTGAACATCACGTTCAGAATGGGTCACACCACATCTTGCCCACTCTGACACACCCTTGCTAATTGCTTTGCTCTTCCCCATGTCAGTCTCAACAGCTGCAGCCGTCTGGATTTGGCTGACGCAACTGGCCTCAGACGCCAGCATCCAGAAGAACAGCAAAGACATTCCAGATGGGGCAAGCAAGAGAAGAATCAACAACATGATATGACATATGACTCTCTTCAACACAGCCTTCTTCAAGTTCAACACATCTTTCAATGTGGAAGCACAACACTGCTAAACGACCAAATCAGCTGGAGATGGAAGAAAGAAACCTGTTTGCAGGCTTGCGCAGGCAATATTTTCAACAAATGCACGTATGTTGCAAAATTGCTTGGCTGGCTTGCACTTCACAAAATGATTCAAACTTAACAGGCCACATGCTCACACGCATTCATAAATACGTGGCTTCAACTGAACCCTTGCAACCTAATTGAAGCACTGCACTCGAATTTGTTCTAAAGCCCAGCGCCTGAACTCCTTACTTGCATGCTGGGCCGTTTGTATGATTTGTACACAACATATGTCAAGTATGGTCCACTCACATCCAGCATGGTTTCTCCACCACGGTGAATATTCTTGCATCCTTGCAAGCCTCATTGCACAGCAATCTAAACTGGAAGGGCAATCATCCAACGCACAAACAAAAGCAAACTTGCAATAGAAAGACACGCTCACAAGAAAACCAACTACTGGGAGAAAACCACTGCAAACAGGTAACCCTGGAATTTGTCAATGAGAGCAGCTTCAAGAAAAGCAGGCCCATGACAATTAGATGATCCATAAAGGACTATCATATGGTCGAACTTGTCTCCACGAGAGTGCTTGTATCCAAACTTGGAATTGTGCCACCTAGTTGATGCATCGTGAGTGATGCCAAACTTGAATGTAAGCGGTTGAAGTTTGGACACCAGTTGTTCGAAGACACGCACAGCATGTTCCAAGATCCGACCTGCATTGGATCCTGGCTTCGGCAGCTCCATGGTCAGTTCAGGGTCCACTTCAATTTTGTGAAACACATCCCGTGAGCGGGGAAGGTTCTTGAGGTCATCATGTTGTAAGTAATCATCTTTCCATGCCAGAGAACTTTGGGAACCATGGTTTGCCCTCTTCTTTTCAACCTCCAGGGGCAAATTCCGGTACAACAGGTGTGACCAGTCTGTGTGCCCATGGGTTGAGCTTCTGACTCGTTTCACTGACTTGCATGGCCATGGGAATGGCGCAAGTTCATCCTTAGATGAAGTCAGAAAACACAGTGGTACAATGTTATATACATCCCACAAACCACCACACACACAGGAACACAGCCACACTCCAATGCTAAGGTTTTCAGAAAGGCACCGA